AGGCCAGAGAGCATCAGTGACACAGATCAATTAACTTAGCATTCATGTTTTATGCTCTCCGTGAGACACGCTAACAGAGCCTGAGGAGAGAGGACACTGACACCTAATGAAAGCACAACTACGACTAGTTACACCAAACCTACTGCGTTATGGCTGGACATTTTGACTCTGACTTATTAGTTAATGCCACTATAGTAAATAGTAATAGTAATTTAGTATTTTTACAATTTATTTTAAAATGTAATTTATTCCTGTGATAGCAAAGCTGAATGTTCAGCAGCCATTACTCCAGTTTTCAGTCACATGGTCCTTCAGAAATCATTCTAATATGCTGATTTGAAGAAATATTTAATATTATTACAATTGAAAAAAAGGATTGAAAATGACTCTGATTAATGTAAAGTTCAAAAGATTGTTTACTTATTAGTAAATTATATTTAATTTACCCTTGTTGAAGTATTCATTTCTTTAAAAAGATTACCCACATCACAAAATAAACTAATACAAATAAATAATAATAATACTTATTATTATTATTCATGATAATAACAATAATTAAACTATATAATAGAAACATGAAATGTAATAAAAAATTAAGAAGAAAAAAAAAAAAGGAATTATTTTTGCCAGCTCTTTACCTTTAGCTGATGTCCGTAAGAATTGAAGCAGGAATAGGACGATGATTTGAGTACTGCAATGCCCCATTTGGTTCACTGCACTGAAAGGAAAGGTGCGAGGTGTTACAAATGCACATTTAAACCAACACCACAAATCACCTGCTTAGTTTAAAAGTTCTACAGAACAGTGGGCCAGAATCAATTACCAATAAGAGAACAGAACCGCAAAGATGATGACTTAATTACATTTTTTGAGTGTGCAGCTGTGCTCTGCCTCTCTCTCTCCTGCCACAAATATTTCCACAACCACAGTGTGTGTGTGTGTGTGTGTGTCAGACAGGGGGCCGTCTGCATGGCAACCGAGGAGAGAGAGATGCCCATTATGGAGCGACATCAAAGACAGTGGAGGAGCAGTTTAGTAGAGGCAGAAAGGAACAAGCATTTTGGGGGTGTAGGACTTACCATTACGGTGTAATATTCAAGGGCACTATTCACAAGGACATCATGACTAATTATAGACTACGAGTCCTTGAAAACTGACTTTTAAATGGTGTAGTGTCATTTTATTCAATGCCTCTTTAATCCTGACAACTAAAAAAAATCTCCAAGACGAGGAGAGTCTTACTTGTACAACTCCTCAGGTGACTCTCAGCACTGCCTTTCAGTATGCGCACAGCCAGACTCTGTCTTCCCATTGGATCCTAAAAAGAATATTGAAACCAAAGCAGCATGTTAAACTTTTTCCACAGCAGTGCCTTTCTCATGGTCATTTCTTCAGGAAGGAGTGAGTGACAGGATAAGAGGGGCGCCTGGAAGTCGCTGCACAGTGCACACTGATAGTCAGAGAGCTGGAACTGACTTACGGCTTGATTCCCTTTGACTGCTCCCCATATTAACAGAAGTTTTTTTCGAAATGCATAGATCCCAAAAATACTCCTATTTTGCATTTTTCTGAATTAATGGAGTTTTTTTTTATTCAAAATGATATCATTAGCATTTCAATTTGAGTAAATATATTCAGAACAGTCATTTTATTATTATAAAAATAATTAAATATAATTAAAATAATTAAATTACAAATAATTATGAATTATCTTCATTATTTTCTTCTTTTGTGCTATGTCCGAACTGATTGCACTGTATTTTATGAATAATCATTTTTTTTATTCTTACCGGTTTTAATTAATTTTAAATACATTTTTAAATTAAATTCCTTTTTATTGTTGTGTTTATTTTTTTATTATTATTTTAATTCCTTTTATGTAAAGCACTTTGAATTACCAGTGTGTACGAAATGTGCTATATAAATAAACTTGCCCTGCGCTTTATAGACAGCAGCCAATTGTGCTTCAATGGATATGAAAGAACTTTAAATAGTGATGATTCTGAAATGTCCACTTTAAATAGTAACAGTTCTACGTTTTTAATTTTTCCAAAAGCTTTCCCCATTGACTCAACTGGATTCTCAGATTTTGCAATCTGGATCATATTTCATATAGTGTTTATATAAATGTATACACACAAATTACAATTTTCTAGCCAGCAAAATAGTCTAGAATAGCAAAAAAACTTTTTTTTTTTCCAGACCTGGAAGTCACAGTTTTAACACTAACTTTAACTGATATTTCTAATATAGTTTTTAGTGACCATGAGAACCTTTTCAGGAAATATCTGAGAGAGCCTTTATTGAGAGCCTGTTACGATCGAAGAGTCTTACAGGCAACAAAACAATCAAATGACTGACATGCAATCAATCACACAGAGCTTTTAACAGAAACGTTTATCCAGCAGATTATTTACACAAGGCTCTTGTACTCAAGAAGGTGGGTGACAATAACACGACAGATGATCTGCTTTAACGGATACAAGTCCCTACAATATAATCAGATATCCAAGCACGGGCAACACAAAACAACAACAAAAATATAAATTAACCCGCAAAAACTGAAGCTGTCGTCATATCATAATAAAGTCTGCATTATAACTGTATGCATCTAATAATCGGCCTGTTTGCAGAAGCGGTGCTAACTGCTAACAACGACCATTATTTACTCACCGCATTTATTTCCAACAAATCAAAGTGACATTAAAGATCGCTTTTACCTTTAGCTGCGATGTAGATTCATGTTTGTGTTAATGTTCCGTGTTTTTACTGTTTTCTTCGAAGTCGTGCTTTAGGCGCTGACAGACTGTCTGCCGCCTCCCAGAGAGACTGAAAAGACTGCGCCGTGACGACACCATAAACAAGGGACGCGCGAGAGCATTGTGGGATACCGTAGTCCGCCGAATGTGAGTGCCTGAATACATAAAATAGTCTAACTTTATTTTGTAACGACACATTTCTGTCTTGGACAGCGTTTGAGCAGAACTTTTTTTCGCTCAACCTCATGAATCAAAGAATTTGTTTTGTCGACAAACAACTGTACAAGTTTAGTAGCCTATCACTGATAGAGTGCTTGTTATTTTTTTCGTTTATAAACTAAAGAATATCTCTTTGGATTTGAGACTTTAGTCTTTGCAACTTTACAGATCTTCTTTATGCACCAAGAGCTTGTAACACTCCAAAGAGAAAGGAAAAATTAAAATCACATCATATGACCCCTTTAAAGGAAACATGAGATGGTATTAAAGGAATTTACCCAAAAATGAAAACTGGCTAAAAATTTACCTGCCCACAGGATTTCAAGACGTATATGAATTTGTTTCTTAATCGGAACTGCGTTATTACATATTATGGACTTTATTTTGTCTAGAAGCAATTGTTTAAAGTTAAAATGCCTTAATGATGTATTTTTTTATACAAACACAATTGTTAATTGATGGAATGGAAATTTGTGAATTACTTGTGGATTATTCTGATGTTTTTATCAGTTGCTTTGGGCGTTCATTCTGGCGGCACCCATTCACTGCAGAGGATCCATTGGTGAGCAAATGACGTGATACTAAATTTCTCAAAGTCTGTAATGAGGAAACAAACACATTTACATCTTGGATGGCCTGAGGGTGGATAAATTAAAAAGCAAATTTTCATTTTCTGGTGAACTATTCCTTTAAGGGAAATCTCAAAGATCCATATTATAGCAAAATAAAGATGCTGATCGATACAAATCTGCTACAGCCAACCCTAAAACACACCCGATAGCATCAAATTGTAGAAATCTTAATATAAAATCTGGTCTTACAACAACTCCAAGTTTACAATTGTAGGTTATGCTCATCAGTTCTATACTGTATCAAGTTACCTGAAAGTGTATGATCATTTATATTACTATTTACAAACTATTAGAGAGACACACATAGCTGCTTAAAGAAAGCAAAATGTCCTTGCATGAGGAGCCAGTGGCCTGACAGTTTTTTGTTCTAAAATAGCTTGTTGATTAATGGCCATGTTTTTTTCTATATGGGGAAAAAAGGATAGGGAGGCAGGGGCACCGAAGGGCAGGGAGATAAGGCGTCTGACGGCCCTCAAGTGACTTGCCACAATTCCGTTCCACTCAATATCATAGATTTTTCATGTATAATCAATGCAGTGCAATTTTTTGGGGCATTTATGGCACTGAGGTCAATGTCGTGTGGAACACCATTGCACCTCTGGGGGAAATGTACTCTTGCTTTTTTCCCTTGCTTGCAACAACATGAAAAACAGAGGAATATATCTAGTTATTGCATATAGCATTCAGGCTAAGTTAGAGTCAGATTTACTGATAAAATATTGAACCAGTTGCCATTTCTAAGCCATTGACATCAATCTTTTGAAAAAAGAACATTGTGTCTAAGAATTTGCATATGATTTTTTTGATTTGATTGTTTCTTGCATTTATTAACAAGGATTTTTTATTGTTTTGGCCAAATGTAGACGTCAATGTATGTGTACCTATATAGGTTGGTTTTTGGCTCTGAAATGCTGTCTCCTATCTCATAGTTGACTCGTGTCTCCTTTAATAAAGCATTCATTATAGGGAAGGTGACATGAGAATTAGGATGCAGAGTAGGTATCAAGTGACCTATATGCTTCCTCAATTGCATAGTGGCACAAAAGAATCTCCTGTTGCCCCTTCATCCATATCTCCAATCAAACTTTGCTTGTTTCGGACCTTTGATTTAATCTTGAGGGGCTTTAGTGGCTGTCCACAAAAAGCTATTGTATCTTACATAATTATAACCTCAGAAATGATCTGACCTGTCCGGTGCCAGGTGTAGTGAAGTGTGCAAAAGCTTGCATGCCATGAGGTCCCATTGGATAAGGAAAAGAAACACTAGATGCCCATCGTGATCGGATAAGTGGAAAATAACTTAACAATGTTAGATCTGAAAAAAAGGCAAGGAAACTTCGGTAAAGACCTAATGGAAAGTTTTTCCCTCCCCTCTTGGTTTCCGAGACTTCTGGGTACCCTAAAAAGGGAGCAATATGAGCCCCGAGCCTTTTTTTCTGACTTTTTCTTTTTTTAACTTTACTTCCCACACCACCCCTGTGAGTCTGAGCCCATTTGGAAGGTTACTGTTCAAAGTCAGCATGGATCATCCAGGAGGACACCTTGCTGTGGTTCTGCTCATACTTGTTCTGGTTTCTATGTCCACCGAAAACAACATTAGTAAGTACTATATTTATATGCTTTAGCTTTTTGGGCTTACTATGACATGTCTGATTATAAAATGAAATGTTTTTTTTGGATTGGCTTTTTACACTTGATTCGTTTGAGATCTGAATGAACTAGGGGAACTTTATATAGAAATAATTTAAAGGAAAACATTTGAACAAACTTCACTGAATTTGTGTTTCTCATATTTTAATCTAAAAGTTTATGTTTAAATGCTTGGCAGTATTTTTGTAGGCAAATATAAATTGTGCGTACCTATGGATTTTCATTCAGTATTATTTTATTGTATTATTTTAATTCATTTATTAATTTAACTTTTATTTTTAATCAGCTTATTTAGTTTCATTTAGAGATTATTTTTTATTTTATTTTATTTTATTTTATTTTATTTTATTTTGTTTCTCATATTTTAATCTAAAAGTTTATGTTTAAATGCTTGGCAGTATTTTTGTAGGCAAATATAAATTGTGCGTACCTATGGATTTTCATTCAGTATTATTTTATTGTATTATTTTAATTCATTTATTAATTTAACTTTTATTTTTAATCAGCTTATTTTGTTTCATTTAGAGATTATTTTTTATTTTATTTTATTTTATTTTATTATTTTATTTTATTTTATTTTATTTATGGAATGGAATGGAATGGAATGGAATGGACGATCCAGCATACATTCAACTCATTCAATACTTTCGATTTGTATCAAAAGTTTTGGTCATCACTTTATCTCTTTTGGGTTTACTTTACTATTATTCTAAAATGTGAAAAAATAAATATAAATCCATGAAATGTGAGTAAACTTTTTGACTGGTATCCTGGTGCAGTTAAGAAATACTTATCCTGAAATGTATTTGATGATTGTCACTCTTTGGAAAAGTATATACATTTTGAATTAAAATTGAATTTTCTTTGCAGTCAGGTGGTGCACAGTATCTGATGCGGAAGAGCAAAAGTGTTTGGATCTAGCTGGGAACGCCACAGCCAGGAACATCCGTGGACAACTTCTGTGTGTGAGGGGCCAAAGTCCCACTGACTGCATGAAGCAAATAAAGGTTGTAGACAATTGCTTCCCAAGACGCAAATAAAATCAGATATGGTGCATGAAAATTACAGTGATATTACAAGGCTCATAGATTTCAGATTGTCCATACAATTGTCCTAATTTTTGATCCTCCTTTGCTTTTCTTGCACTCACTCAACTTCTCAACTGATTATTCAATCTTACAAAAGGCTTGATATGTTATGTGCCCTCTAGAAGCTTGCGTTCTGCAAGTGAACGGCATATTATTGTGCCATCTCAAAGAAGCACAAAATCACTTTCACTGACTTTTTCATTAACTGTTCCCTCCTGGTGGAATGACCTGCCCAAATCAATTCGAGCAGCTGAGTCCTTAACCATCTTCAAGAAACTACTAAAAACGCATCTATTCCACCTATATTTGACCCTCTAACTCTAACACTTTCTATTCTATTTTAATTCTACTTTATCTATATTTATCTTCTTTTTTATTAAAAAAAA